GATCATTGGTGGTTATAGGTGTTGGTGTTTGGAGCAGTGTTTCAGGAGTTGATCATTTACAAATCGGTTCAATAGAGAGAGATGAGTTACCTTCCAGTAGGTCTAAGGCACCAATACTGGCCCACTAGTAGTAGTTATAGTAGAGATGATTGTCTTTGTGATAATCATTTGGTATGTCACTATCTGTTATGCTTATGTGCTAGTATGCTATGATGTTATGTGATAGTGGTAAGAGGGGTAGGATAAACCCCAGTACCGATCGATAGGGCTGAAGGGGTATGCCATCACTCGGATAAGCTAGGCAGTATATGCCTTACATGTTTATGCACTAGAATGATATGTGGTAGAAGTAGGGTTAATTGGTTCATTAATTAGAGATGATAAATGACATCAAGGTTCTCCAGTGTGTTTGCATGGTTGTTCACATTTTGTTTGTGATACTCAGTATCACAGTCACATATAGAAGAATATAATCTGAGATTAAACATGTCATTGATAAGGTTCAATGAATTTCAAAAGATCTAGAAATTTAATAGATTGAAATTGGTGACTTGTCGTACCTACCTTCATAAATTCACAATAAGACTACGATATACCTCTTTTTGATTGTGAATTGTATTTTGGATCCTAGCCTTGAATGTTTATTTTATGTTAAAATATTAAGGATTTATATTAACTAACTAATATTATCTCTCTTATATAGATATATACTCCTGGAGATGCAATTGCTGCTCAATCTTCCACTAAAAACTCGACCTACACTCTTCGATCAACCCTATCCAAGGAGGAATTAGTTGGTACAAACTACATGGATTGGATGCAAATTTTCAAAATGATACATCAATATGAGGTCAAAGAATATGTACTTGATAAACCTCTACTGAAATCGATGTGTTAACTGCTACTCCAGAGGAACAAGCCACCTACAAACAACACTATAATGACACAACAAAGGTTGCTTGCATAATGGTTACAACCATGGTATCTGAGTTACAAAAATTATATGAGGACTATTAGCCTTATGAAATGTGCTTAGATCTTGCTGAAAAGCTTCACAAGAAAGAACATCAAGAGAGGTATGGGGTCGTCAAGGCGTTATTCGCATGCAAGTTGAAGGAGGAAGAATCTGTGTATAATCATGTGTAGAGAATGCAAATATATGTTAAGCAGTTGGAAAAGCTCAATGTGTCTTTTGACAAGGAGTTGTCCATAGACATGGTAATGAACTCCTTGCCTCCCAATTATGATCAGTTTATCTTAACTTATCATTTGAAGAACACAGAGACTACATCGACCCAACTCCACAACTTGTTGTAGACAACTGAATTAGGGATGAAGAAAAATTAGGTCCCTTCTGCGACAAGTGCTCCTGTCCTTTCTATTAGGCAAAATAGAGCAAAGCAAATCCTTAATTGAACTGGAAGAGTAAGGCCCATGCTGGAGCGTCTGGTAGTGGGTCCAAGTCAAAGCTCACTTCTGATATTTCTGATATTAGTGATCCCAAAGACGCTGCTTGCTACTATTGCAACAAAGAAGGGCATTGGAAAAGAAGATGCCCCAAATACTTGCAAGACATCAAGGATGGGTTATCTAAGGAATAACCAATCACTTATCTATGGACTAAATTTTGATTTTGATTAGAGTTTGGCAGTTAAATTGGATGACTATTCTTTGTTGATTGTTTTAAGAAGAATTAGACCTCGAAGAGTTGATGTATTGTCCAAGTGGGATACTGTTGGAAATAGTGTTTAATGTCATTAACTATTGGTAATATTTCTAAATAATAACATGGTCATTTTTGGTTGGCCTCATAACACAACTCACAATAAGGAAATGGAGAAAAATAAGTTGTTAATTTATTTTGAATTAATAAATTAATTAGAAATTATTTTGGTATTAATTAATTAACACGCTTGAATATATTGCTAGAGATTAATTGGAATTGTTAGAAGCCTCTTGGAAGATAGGTAGGTACGAAACTTAGAATAATTATCTTAGTATATGGCAGGTTTTGATAAGTATAACGATTATCCTTAAGAAACTAATCAATTTAAGGATTCTGGTTGCCACCTATAAATAAGGTACTAGGGATCAAAACCTAGAATACTTTTTTCAACACTTTTTCATGCTCTGTATCTCCCATACCTACATAAGGTTGAAATTTATATCCCATCTCTTGGGATATAGAAAATTTGACTTATCCCTTATTATGGTTTTCCTTGTTTGCTTCTTGGAGTCTTGGGTCAGACTATATTAAAGGGATTCTACTTTGGATCTTTCATCTAATTGCAAGAGTTGTTAATCACAAGGTCTTAATCAAAGAACAAAGAGGTTATTATTCTTATTTTTGTATTTTTAAAGCTCATTGCAATGACTAGTAAAACCTAGATCTCAGGGTGAGTGTACACTTAGGTAAATTTTTGATTATTTCCACTACCTTTAGAAAGTGTATTGATGTTAATAAAACCCAATACATTATACATACAAAAACATTATACATACATGATATACATACAAATACACATATACATACATAATACCCATACAAGACACATATACATACATGATACACAAACACATACACATATATACATGATAGACATACACATACACAAAATATACATTATACATACAAAAAAAAAAGTGAATATATAAAACATATGGTGGTGTAATCCGGCAGAGAAGGGTGGTGGTGGCATTATTCCCACAACAGGACCGATATATCACTGGGCAAATTTTGGCAGACAACTTGAAATTTCGGCAGATGACTGAAACAATTCGACAAAATTTCTCACATGTTGTGGGAGAAGTGAATGAAAAATAATTTCTCACATGTTGTCGTCGATGATAAGCTACCTTGTCACTTGAAATTATCATTGAACCTCCTTTGGCAGACAACTTGAAATCGTCACTAGGGAGAAGTGAATGAAAAATAAAAAAGGAGGTTCAACGATAATTTCTCACATGTCGTCGTCGATGATGAGCTACCTTGTCACCGGAGTAGATAGGTTGACGATTGTTGCATTTGTCGATTAAAATCCGACATTAGAGATGCCTTTTCGCCGGATAGTTTATAGAGAGCAAAGGGTTCGCAAAAGATGGAAGAATGAACTACCAATTGTGTCACATATAAGCGGTGACGACAATCAATTGCAGCGGCACTAAGAGTAATAGAGGCGACAAGTTTGGAGAGAAATATTGGTGGTCATTTTTTTCGGCTATTAGCAGCAACACCCATCACCGATTTGATGTCGCCGCTATTGTTGTGTTTATCGTGGTTCTAGCCATTGGATTAGGCAATAATCAAGAGATTGGGTTTAACGCTAGATATTCTCGTGGATAATGTTCGGTGTCCCCACTAAAATCCAATATTCTTGTAATGGGTCCGCTAGAACTAGAAATGAATTCTAAACTGCCCTATTTTTATAAATTAAGGCCAACCAAGAAGACAATAGGAAAAAGTTAAATGATGTTGATCAATGACGATATTTAGTAGAATGTGTAATTGCTTTCGTGTGGGCTAACTGTTCCTTTAATGACACGCAAATATAATGCACAAACTTTTCAGCTTAGTATCGACTTGAATGGAACCATGACCCACGATGTTTAAACTTAAAACTATGATTAACCATTTGGCTATTACCAATTGACCAGCCTTTATTTGTTCAGAAAGTGAGGAACGGATTTTAGTAGAATGATATTATTCTATGAGCCTATATTCTAGACTACTTTGTCTTCTATATCATGTGCTATTATACCTAATCCAGAATTAAGTATTCACAAAACAGAAGTGGGAAAAATACACATTAGTTCATTTTCTGTGACTCTCGCAATTCTTGAATCTCAAAACATAGAACAGATATTTACTTGGCTTGTCTTATTGCAATTAACCTTTTACTAATTTTTTAATCGCCCTTCACTGTAAAGTTTTAGAAAATCGCATTGTGGTTGGCGCAAACATTGATGAAACAATTCATATGGTAAGTTAAAACTATTTCAGCTTTATTTTATATTTAAATATCCAAAGAAAGATAAAATCATATAGACTTGACTAGATGTTTGAGTTCCTCAACAGCTTAAATTCGAGCTTTATACAAAAGCATCTATGACAAAATAAAACTGGACAATAGTTAATTTAACCCCATTCGTATGACTTATTAGACATATGTTGATGGTTGAAAGCACACAAACGTGAAAATGATGATTCGAAGGAAATGTTATTTATCCAAATTAAGGAAAAATATCAAATTTCAGAAAGGTCTCTACGATAGGAAGGTCATGGATATCTAATTTAAAAATCAGAATATATTACATGAATGGTCCCTATGCTTTGGGGTAATTTGTACGTTTGGTTCCCAACCTATTTTTTTAACTCGTAAGGTGTCTACTGTTTGTTTTTGTTACGCGTTTATTCATACTGTTTGTTTTTATTACATGTTTGGTTCTTATCTTACCTAAAAATACTATTATTTAAATAAGACAAAATGGTAGGGTATGTAAGGTAAGGTGAAGGGTGAGATTGAGTGTGTTTATTTAAATAAATTAAAAAATATCAAGAGAAAAATAGTCTTTTTTAGGTAAGACATTAAGACAGGGACCAAACACGTAAATTACCCTAAACCATAGGGACCATTCGTGTAATTTACTCTAAAAATTAAAATAATACTCCTTATATTACTGAGATTCATTAATAAAGCCTTGGGTTCATACTAGTTGATGGTAGAATATGTAAAAATAGGCATGCATGGGTCTTATAATAATACCGCATGGTTTATCAAATGTATTAGTTATTTACTTTGTTGCAGTCAATAAAGACTTTGAACGCTCTATTGTCAAGATTAACTTACCTGCATTATTGATTACTGATTACCCTCTCCCAAATGATCAACACTACCTGAATTCACGTTCAGAGTTTGAATTATCCGAACCCAAAAAAGATGAGAACTCTGTATATTCTCACATTCTTATGGATACTCTTTTCACAAAACTTGCAAACTTCCATGTGCATAGATACGTTGCAACCCAACCAAAACTTCACTGACGGCTTCACCTTAATCTCCCCGAACCAAAGATTTGAATTCGGCTTCTTCACACCTGGTAATGGTTCTTTTGGTTCTCGATATCTTGGAATTTGGTATCATAATCTTCCTCTCACAGTCGTTTGGGTGGCTAATAGAAACAACCCTGTTCGTGATTTGAATGGAAAGGTAGTTTTACTCGAAAATGGAGTTTTAATCCTTTATAATCACTCATTGGCTACTATTTGGTCAACCAATAACTTACCCATCAAAACTACTTTCAACCCCGTTCTTCAGTTATCAAACTCCGGTAATCTTGTAATCAGAGACGATGGGAGAAACAACACCATTTTCTGGGAGAGCTTTGATTATCCAACTGACACAGTTTTACCAGATTTGAAACTAGGGTGGAAGTTAGACGTTGGATTACAAAGGTTGATTAGATCTTGGAAGAGCATTGAAGATCCTTCAGATGGTGATTATTCGTTTAGCCTTGATCCACCGGAAGCTCCGCAACTTGTTCTTCGAAGTGGTTCACGAAAACTTTTCCGATGGGGTCCGTTTGATGGGACGTCGTTTAGTGGTAGCACTACTTTGACTGTAAATCCATTGTTCCAATCTACATATGTTTCAAATTCTGTAGAGCTTTACTACGAATACGAAATGTTGGATGAATCGGTTTTATCTAGACTTGTAGTTTCATCTTTGGGTTTTCTTCAGTATTTTACATGGAGGGTGAACATCAGTAAAGAATGGAACCTTTTGGTATCATTCAACACTGATCCTTGTGATAGCTATGGGAAATGCGGTTATTATGGGATTTGTTATTCGTTAAGTAGTTGCAAGTGTTTGAGTGGGTTTACACCCAGTTTGCCACTCGACTGGGGTTTATTTAGCTATTCAGGTGGGTGTAAAAGGAAACATGAACTTGAATGTGGACATGGAGATGGGTTTGTGAAATACGATGGGTTGAAATTTCCTGATAATCCAACTGTTTGGTCAAATTACACGGATCATGAATGTGGAACAAAATGTTTGGAAAATTGTAGTTGTATGGCTTATGCTAACGTTAATGTTTATCGAAATGGTAGTCTTTGCGTTGTGTGGATTGGTGATTTGATTGATATGAAGAACTTTCCTAATGGTGGAGAGAAGATCTACATACGAATGTCACGCTCTGAATTACGTATGTTCTCTTAATTAAAATTTTCATGGACTTTTGAAAGAAGATTTAATACATTTCTTTGCGTTGGTTATTTAATTAATCACAGAATCCATTGCTGATGCGAAGAGGAAACGTGTAACAGTGAAGGTCGTCAGCATAGTTACAGTTCTTGGATCGCTGCTTCTATTCAGTGGTGCAGTATGGTACCTCAGTTGGGTAACCAGGGTGAAAAGAAAAGATCGAATAAGCATGAACTCTAAAGGTATTCTAAATGTTCGTATAATGTGCATGACATAAACTCCATTTTGGTATTGTTATACTAAGTTTCACTGTTCATGTGATTTATGACTTTGTAACAGGTCAACGAAGTGGGAGTTTTCAATATGTGGAAGATAACCAAGATGAAGGATTTAAATTGCCTATTTATGATCTTGATACCATTTTACTTGCATGTAACAATTTTTCGGAGAGAAACAAGATTGGACAAGGCGGTTTTGGTTCTGTGTATAAGGTAACTCACCACATAGCGCCAGTTTGTTTGTAAGATTATTGAACAAAACGAAGTTCGAATGAATAAAAATGGGTAATTTTGATTATGAATACAAATGGATAATTTTTCAGCGTAGATTCTGGAATGTTTTACTGAGTATACCCATGAGCACTTTTTTTTTTTTTTTTATGGTTTTATGGAATTATATAAATAACTATGATATTAAACATGCTAATAAAAGTAATGATTCAGCTTTTAAGGAAAATAATTTGGGTGGTAAACGTATTTTATCTCTAACTATATTTTTATTAATTATACAAAGAATTGTGCTTTACAATGTTAATTTATTGCCCGCAGGGTCAATTTTCGAATGGGCAAGAGATAGCAGTTAAGAGGCTTTTAGAGAAGTCGATACAAGGCGTTGAAGAATTGAAGAATGAATTAATTTTGATCGCAAAGTTACAACATCGTAACCTTGTCAAACTTTTGGGTTGTTGCATTGAAGGTGAAGAAACCATGCTGGTGTACGAGTATTTGCCTAATAAAAGCTTAAACAACTTCATTTATGGTACGTTATACTCCCCATGTCTCATACTTCATTTCAGTAAGCCTTATTTTTTATTCAGTTTCAAATGATTTAATTATGACAAAGGCAGCACAAAATAGACAACTTCTCTTTAAAAATTAGTGAAGATTAAATACATGGTTTTATTACTTATCGTTAGACATCTTGGAAAATTTAAGGATTAGCATCCAAAAGAGCTTACGCGTTTTTGGTAAAACAAACTGATAGCTAATATTTAAAAGCTGAAAGATGGTAGTCGGAAGTAAGCATATAAACCGTTTTGGGAACGAAAAAACCAAAAACTGAATAAGCTTTAAATTAAAAACCGAAAATCGGACCAAATACCAACAATCAGTTCACGTTCTGGTTCGGTCCGGTTCGATTCTATCTAAGAACGTGTTTGGAACCGGAATTGGACCGAAACCAGAAAATCAAAAACCGAATAACCCGTTAACTAAGAGCCGACAACCGGACCAAATACCACTTAAGAGTTATGGTTTGAGTTTTTGGTTAAAAAAGTTTATCCGTAGCAAGAGGATGTACATTTTATTTGTTATATGAGTATTCGACAAAAGTAGCTAAAAACTTTTGAAATATGTAAAATTTAATAAAAGACAATTAAAAGAGATTTTGATAATCTTATTAAGTACAATTTTGTAAATTGATTAAAAAAATTAATAACTTTTTTCTTAAATGTTAAATGAAGTAGTTTTTAGATTTGATGTTTAAAAAAAAATCAAAATGTTTGTACTTACAAATGACTTTTTTTTTAAATAAATTTTATACAAATGACTTTTTTTTTTAAATAAAATTTTGTTAAAAGTTAAAAACTAGAAATCAAACGATGTGGTGTTTGCACTGCAATCATCCAAGCGTTTTCTCCTTCGAACTAGAAGAACCTGAAACATAATCTGAAAAAAATAAGCACAACGCTTAGTGAGTTCCCCAAAATACCACATACCACACATATCAAACATATAATTGGCCACGCCTGTCATTGCGCCCCACCCAGTATAGATATAAACACATAAATATATAATCATATAACACATACAATAATCACAACTATAAATAACATACATGATAGTCATCGAGCCTCACCCGGTAAACATATAAAAACATATCAAATGCAAGAGTCGCGCAGATAACTACCATCCTAAATATAACAAACCATGGGCCATCATTGATGCTTAGACCTGCTAAACACAGTGAGGTAACTCACCTGTAGCTGGTAAATCTCTCAAATAAATCTCGGTATGTTGGTCCAGAAAATCTCCGTGCTAACATCATCAAATAATATCCAGTTAATAATTGGATCTCGACCCATAATCAAGAATCTAAGCTACTTGTCCAATATCTAGGGTAAAAGACCATTTTACCCTTTTTCTTACTTGGCCCAAAACCAAAGCCCAACCTATTTGCTCAAAAGGCCTAAATTCCTAAATGGCATCCCAAGGACCAAAAAGGCCCAACTTCCAAATTGGGCCCAAAAATCATCTTGGACGTAATCGTAAGAAAGTCCATGGTTTATCCACAGCCCAAAGTCAGAAGTCCAATGGTCCAACAAGGCCCAAACCCTAAAAGCCTAAAATATAGCCAAAACTGATGAACTCAAACTGAAGGTCAATCTACTGAGTATGCGGGGCGTACTCAACTTGTAGGCTTAGAGTACTCCTTCATGGGCCAGTATGATCAGTGTGCGAGCTGGGTACTAGGATACTCCCCAGATTACCAACCCAACGCATTAATCACTTAAATGGTTAAGCCAACATACTAAACTCTCAGATCTGATTCTTTATGGCGACTTAATACGTAAAGTTAACAACTTTACACCGAAGCATGACTTAATGGGGTCCAACACTCAAAAAGAAGCTTAATATGGCTCTTAACACTTGCACGAAGCAATTTCTCTCATATAGTTTGTTTTTTATGAACAAGGGACCTCAATGGAACTAAGATCTAACATTCATAGCTTCTGGAGTAGATCACAAGCCAACTTTAGCTCAAAAGACCCAAAAATGCATACATAACACCCTAAGTAAGATCTAGCATAAAGAATCATCAAGATTGGAGCTTTTTAACTCAAATGGCTTTCTAAGGTGAAGATAACCTTGGATCTACAAGCCCAAGTTACTTCCAAGCAACCATCAGATGTTCTTCTTCTTCATTAGAAACGCCACCAAATCTCACTTTCAAGCTCAAAACTCACCAAAAGCACTTAGGCTTTCGTTTTAATGGTAGAGAGTGATGGAGGTCGATCAATAAAATGTCCAAAGGTGGTATAAGTTGCTTAAATAAGGTACAAAACCTAATAATTAGGGTTTGCCACTACACCAACTACGCGATGCGTACTCCACGTACTCCTCGCGTACGTGGGTGATTCCCGCGACCAAAAAAGAGCTAGTACGCTAAGCGTACTCATAGAGTACGCCGCGCGTACTACATAGGGACCAAAAAGATTTAAATTTTGCATTAAGGGGATAAAAGGAGACATATCAAATTACGAATACAACAATTCTCCTCCACTTGAATCATAATTTTTCCTTGAAGTTCATTGCCCCAAATAAATCTGGGTAAAGCTCCTTTACATCGACCTCCAGCTCCCACATTTTATGAACCCTTGAAATGTTGCCACTGAACTTTCACTAACTCAACAAACTTATTCCTCAAGGTTTTTGTCTTCTTTTCAAAATCGTCATCGGTCTCTCGATATAATTCTAGCATTCATATACCTGAATATCCTATAATGGAACCAACATGGAATCATCCACTAAACATTTCCGCAACTGAGAGACGTGGAACATGCTATGGATCTAACTAAGATCCTCGAGGAGATTCAAACGATAAGTAACCCGGCCCACCCAGGCCAAAACCCTGAAAGGACTAATGTACCTGGGGCCTAACTTTCCCCTCTTACTGAATCAGATGTTACCTTTCCACGGTGACACCTTCAGGAGAACCATATCCCCAACTTGGAACTCTAGATTTGACAAGTGCTTGTCGGTATAGCTCTTCTGCCAACTCTGAGTTGTCTGGAGTCTACTCCAAACCTACTGAATCAACTCAGTAGTGTTGAGTACCACTTTGGTACTACCCATGAATCGCTGACCAACCTCACCTCAACAAAGTGGGGTCCTGCATTTCCTCCCATAGAGCATCTCAAAAGGAGGTCGATCAATGCTGGCATGATAACTATTCTTATACGAAAGTTTTGCTAGCGGAAGATACGTATCCCAACTCCCACTGAAATCCAATACACATGCTCGAATCATATCCTCCAAGGTATGAATAGTCTGCTCGCTCTGACCGTCACTCTACGGATGGAAGGTCGTGCTAAAATATAGAAGAGTACCCAAATCATCATGGAACCTCTTCTAAAATTTGGAAGTAAACCGGGCGTCCCTGTCTGAAACCACAGAAATCAGCACTCCATGTCATGCCACAACCTCCCTGATATATATCTCGACCAACTTCTCCTTAGAGATACTCTCCTGAATTGGGATAAAATGTGTGCTCTTGGTCAATCGATCCATGATGAACCAAACCGTATCCACTCCATGCACAGTCAGAGGCAACTCTGTAATAAAATCCATGGTTATATCCTCCCATATCCAGACATGGATATCTAATGGTTGCATCTTTCCATGAGGATGATGATGCTTAGCTTTAACTTTCCTGAAAGTCATATACCTCCCACGTACCATGCTACATCCTGCTTCATACAGAGCCACCAATAATAAGGACGAAGATCTCTATATATCTGTGTCTCCTCGGGATGAATGGAGAATCTTAATTTGTGTGCTTCCTTCATCAGAATCTAACTTACACCACCCAAATATAAAACTCACACTCTCCAATGAAGAGTCAATAACCCTCAGCTATCATAATCAAAGGAAGCCACCTGACCCACTATGCGCTCACTCTTCCGGTGCTCTTCCTTCATAGCCTCAACCTAAGCCTCTCGAATCTTGTCTAAAAGTGGAGTAATCATGTTCATCCTTAAACAAATATCCCTAATCGGATTTGCGACCACCTTGCGGCGAAGAGCATTGGCCACCACATTGGCCTTCCGAAGATGGTAAAGGATCTCACAATCATATTCTTTCACCACATCCAACCACCGGCGTTGCCTTATTTTCAGATTTTTCTGATCCATCAGATACTTTAGGCTCTTGTGATCCGTGTAAATAGTACAACGGACCATATAGAGGTAATGTCGCCAAATCTTTAGGGCGAAAACTACAACCCTCGGGTATAAATCATGTGTTGGATAATTCGCCTCATGAGGGTTTAGTTGCCTTGAAGCATAAGCGATTATGTGACCCCTCTGCATCAGAACTGCACCCAAAGCTGTGATCGACACATCACAATAAACCATAAAATCCTCAACGCCCTCTGACATGGTCAAAATAGATGCCTCACACAATCTTTGTATCAGGGTCTCAAAAGCTACCTACTGCTCAGGCCCCAAACAAAAAGTGATAGTCTTATTTGTCAACCGAGTCAGAGGAATCGCTATCTTGGAGAAATTCTAAATAAATCTTTGGTAGTAACCTTCCAACCGAAGGAAACTCCAAATCTTAGCTGGAGACCATAGAAACTACACCTCGCGCAACCATAACTCACACTTGAAGAACTTTTCATAAAGTGTCTCCCTTCTTAAAGTCTCCAATACCTCCCTCAAGTTCTCCTCAAGAAGTTCCTAGGTCTTGAAATAGACAAGAATATCATCAATGAATATAATCACAGACCAATCCGTCATCCGCCTGAATACGCAGTTCAAGAGGTCCTTGAATGCAACAGGAGAATTTGTGAGCCCGAAGGGCATCACCATGAACTCTTCCGGAAGGCCGTCTTCTACATATCCTCCTCTTTGACCCCCACCTAATGATAACCCCAACGCAAATCAATCTTGGAAAACTAAGATACACCCTGAAGCTATTCAAACAAATCGTCAATCCCTGGGAGTGGATAACGGTTGAACACCTTGTCTAACAATCCCTACAGTTGTGTAGACAACCCCTGTATCTCCGGAAGAGCTAGTTGATACGGTAGTTTAGCTATCAGAGCC